ACGCGGTGTTGTCTCGTTTGTCACAGACCGCTCTGCTGTTTGTTTCCAGGGATAGTCTTCTCTTGGGTCCTGTGGGAAAATGGATTTCATAATTTCGGTTGATATTTTGTATTTTATTCTTTAGTCTTCTGGGTTATTCAAATGAAGGAGCTTGTGTTATTAAATATGAAGTTTAGTTAAAACTGAGGTTGTTTACATATTGATAGGATTATTTCCTTGTGCAGATTGTTGTGCCTTGAAATGTCTGTATCATCATCATAATCCTCTTTTGCCATTAGATATCACATAGGGCTCACAATCTATTCCTCCATTCCATTCTATCCTGTGCAATCATTTTGGTATCAGGGATAGAACCCAATCCAGCACCTTTGGCCTTTCAATTTTGACCCAGTCTAGAAGGGATGTGAGGAAATATTCTGGGAAATAAAGGTGACTGGTGCGAAAATGAAGTAAGGTCTATACAAATATGGGAGTAATACCACACACTTCGTGTACTTCAAAGCACAGAAACGTGTCATTTCCATATTTACTGTCTGTAGAATAAATTGCCTGTCACATGGTTACAAGTAAAGTCCTTTATTGCTCTTGGCTGTTTTCATTTACTGTCCTCTCCCATTCTCTCTTTGTCTCTTCCAGTCTGTCCCAGTCTCTCCCAGATAGACTGACTATCCCCTAACAAGAATGTTGTCAAAGGTAAAAGGCAACTAATTAGGGATATGCTAAAATCACATGTTTTGGGCTAAAAAGCTTAGATAACATAACCTAGCTGTAAACAACACAACATACCAACTGCCCTATGCAGGGCCAATAAAAAAAATTAAATCACTGTTCAATAACTCACAGACATCATTGTAAGAAAAGGTCTCTTTTCTTACTTTACATATTCAGTGTTTGGTATTCACAGACATCATTGTAATGAAAGTCTCTTCTGTTCCTTAACATTTCATTCATTGGCTGTTCAGTACCTCACAGACATCATTACAAGGAACGTCTGTTTTCTTCCTTTTCTTTTCTTTAATTCACTGTTCATTACCTCATGGACATCATTATGAGGAGAAAATAATTTCTCACAGACATCATTACAAGGAACGCCTCTTTTCTTCCTTAACATTTTATTTGTACACTGTTCAGTAGCTCACAGACATCATTACAAGGAACATCTCTTCTCTTCGTTCTTACAGATTGTAAAATATAGAATACTTCTGATTTCCATGCACAACTTTTCACTACTTTATTGTAAAGGTTTCAGTCAGAATACAGAGCAGTAAATACACCTGCCTGGCTACCTTTTCTGTAAATGTTTCAGCCAGAATACAGAGCGGTAAATACACCTGCCTGGCTACCTTTTCTGTAAATGTTTCAGCCAGAATACAGAGCAGTAAATACACCTGCCTGGCTACCTTTTCTGTAAAAGTTTCAGCCAGAATACAGAGCAGTATATACACCTACCCGCTAACATTTCTGTAAATGTTTCAGCCAGAATACAGAGCAGTAAATACACCTGCCTGGCTACCTTTTCTGTAAATGTTTCAGCCAGAATACAGAGCAGTAAATACACCTGCCTGGCTACCTTTTCTGTAAATGTTTCAGCCAGAATACAGAGCAGTAAATACACCTGCCTGGCTACCTTTTCTGTAAAAGTTTCAGCCAGAATACAGAGCAGTATATACACCTACCCGCTAACATTTCTGTAAATGTTTCAGCCAGAATACAGAGCAGTAAATACACCTGCCTGGCTACCTTTTCTGTAAATGTTTCAGCCAGAATACAGAGCAGTAAATACACCTACCCGCTAACATTTCTGTAAATGTTTCAGCCAGAATACAGAGCAGTATATACACCTACCCGCTACCTTTTCTGTAAATGATGTTATGTGAGTCTGCTGTAGTTAGCAACACAAGATTGTCAGAAGAGATTGGTACAGCAGAGAGGGAAAAAGGCTAGATGAAAACACAATCAAACTGCTGCTTGTACAATTGGAACTCTGTGCTGGCTGCTGAAGATAGGGATTAAGCACTTATAGGAATATCCTCAGTGCTGAAATGTTGGTTTTTAATTAAACTCGGTTAGCAAGCCGTGTTTCAGGCATTGGATGTTTCTTTGTGTTTGTGGGCACCTTTGAGCAGGGCTAAGCCTAAATGTCAGCAAGCTATTAATCAGCCAGTACAATAAAGTAGTTAATTTCATGGCTGACTGGCAGTTAATCGTGTATTTACATAGCCAATTATACAACACTGTTTTTAAGCATTCTGCCTGCATACACTCATAATAGTACCATTTCCGATATATTTACTTCCATTTCTGTCTTTTTTGTTTTAATTTTCTGATTTTGATTTGATTTGATTCAAGAACCGACATCACAGCACTCGGGGCATTCCCAGAAGCGCTCCGTCCCCATCTTCAGCAGCCAGCGAAGAGTTCCGATACTAATGGTGCCAGTAGCTTTCTGATTTAATGTCCGTCTTGCCTTTCCTCTGAGCCTTGAGCTTCTACCAGAACCTCTCGTCACCCCCAACTGCATCAATCTCACCAGACTGTGGTGATCCATCTGCTCCTCCGCATTGTAACGCTCTCCCACAAGGCACTAACCACGTCTGCCCTATCATGTAGGAGTATTCCACCAAGTTGTGCAGAGTCCGCCTGTTCATTTCCCAACACACCAGCGTGACCTGGTGAAAAAAATCCAGACAATACTCCTCACTCGTGTCCTCCGCAGCGAAGCATGCCACTCTGCACGAAGCATACCTGTTCTGATCTTCCTCAGCATGCTCTCTGAATCAGTTACAATTACAATGTGTGTGTGTGTCATGTTCTCTAGCCAGCGGAAAGCTGCAGTGACCGCATCCACCTCCATTCTTAAGCTGGATGTTGTGGTATCATATGCTAAGCTCTCCTGCACCAAACGTCGACCATAAACTTTTGCCAAAAAGCCCCAAGCACTTCTTTTGCCTCTTGACACTGAACTGTCTGTGTAAATTATCAAATCCTCTGAGCGAGCATTATCTTGAATTAATTGCTGAATTTCCACCTCTGTGGCACCTGCTGGCCAGTCTCTGCATTCCCGGCCCAGCGTGATTATGACTCTACACAAGTCAGACTGCTCAGGTGGAACTTTGACCCACTCCTCTCCTCGCCTAATGTTCTCAAGGATGCAAACCTGTCTGATTGTGTCTTCTGCCTGAGCCATCCATGACCTCCCTCTTATCAGCCGCTGACCCTTAACTGCACCCAGAGCTTCATGCAGAGGGTGGTCTGTGTCTGCAGCTACCCTGAGATATGACTTCGCCTGCATCACCTTGTGCCCACCTGCAACCGTCGGCAAACCAAGGATGTATCGCATACACACCACTGGGGTATCTCTGGTGCAACCCAGAAGGACCCGCATAGCCGCGTTCTGTATGCGCTCTAGTTTGTCCATCTGACTCTTTGAGACAGTAAGCAGTCCCAGGCCATAATCCACCACTGACAGGATCAGGTGCTGATATAGTTTGAAAAGCATTCTCTGCTCTATGTCAATTTCAGCCATGGTCTTAAGTGCACTAAGTCCTTTTTGGCATCTTGTCACAACACTCTCCACATGGTCCTTAAATGACAGGCTCCTGTCAAATGTAATTCCCAGATACTTCAGTTTGCTCTCTCTGTTGACGTTTCTACCATCTATCGTGAGACTTGGGACATTAGTTTTAACGATTCTGTTGTCCAGAGAACACCACAAAACAGACGCCTTTTCCGGGTGAACGACAGCCTTCATTTCTGTACACCACCCAGTCACTTTGTATACTGTCGCTTGTAGCTCCTGAGCTGTTTGTTTCCTCTCTTCCCCCTGCCTATATGCAAGTATATCATCCGCAAAAGTCAGTATCCTTCCAACTTGGTGCTTGGTGCTTCTAGGCTTGCAATCTTGCTCGTATACATGTTGAAGAGCACAGGCGAGATGGCGGATCCCTGGGGCCAAAGTGCATAGTTCAGAGGTCCATGAGCCCAGTCAGAGAGCAACCCGACGTGAATACAGGACAGCTGCAACCCAATTCACCAGCCATGGATTGGCCTCCTTCTCCCTCAGTGCAGTCATTAAGATGTCGTATCTCACTCTATTATAAGCATCCTCGAGATCTAGTCCTACCGCCATAGTTTCCAGTCTGTTCTGGAACCCTTCATAGACGTCAATAGCAAAAGTGGCCGCATTTTCTGATGAAAATATATTGTATATATTATATATTTTGTGAGTATAAATAAATAACTTCAGCTAAAATAATATGAGTGTGCCTACATGTAATCATACTACAGTCTGCTACTTTTAGACTTCATACAAATTGTATGGCTTACGATTCGTGTTGTATTATTTGTTGATAAATATAAAATAATATTTTGTTGTGCCTGTGAGCATCTTGTCTTTTATTGAGCTTCTGAGGCATAATTTATGTTAATTCTTTTCATAAATAATTTAGCGTCTAAGAGTCTGAAAAATACTATTTCTTCTGTTGATATGCCCCATACATTTAATATGTCTTGGTTTTGATTTTCAGTCTGGTTATATTTGCATCTCTCAGTAGCTTAGGTTTGTTTTATTTTGTGACTACAATATTTTCATTTCTCTCCAAAACTAACACTCCAGTTCTTCTTCTTCCCATTCACCTGTAAACTCTAGCAGAAACTTCTGGTTGTTCAGGCCATGACTGGACTTCAGTTTTACTCCTGGTCTTGTGTGTTGCATGCACATGCGTTTTACAGAGCTGGCTAGTTTTTATGCAGACTGTTGGTTCCTCACCTCTCGCGCAGATACACTCTGACTTGGAAGGAGACAAGAGGTCCTTTCGGTGTTGGCCAGACCCAGGGTGTGTTTCAAGGATGACCACAAGGAGATCTAAATAGGTCATGATCTGTTTGAGTCGTTATCCTGGTGGACCTTTTCATCCCCAAACACTTCAATGAAGTTGTCTGTTATATGCCACACATGTTAATATAATTTAATTGTTATGTGTGACAATTTCAGGCACGGAATGTACTTTGACAGCAATGTGGCTAGTGCTGCAGACATGCGCTACTTTAACTGGCTGGTACTGGTGGTGCAGTTGCTTGGGGTCATATCCGTGGTCATCACTGCTGTCTGGATGGGACATTACCGTGGCGGATTTGCCTGGCAAAGTGATCCGGATCACGAATTCAATTACCACCCACTCTTTATGATTATTGGCATGGTGTTTCTTTATGCTGATGGTATGTATCATTCATTAAATTGTTCTCTTAGTTTTTTTTTTTATATTTGTGACTGGTGTTTTGTGTTTGTGTGTAAGTAAAGACCTTGCTAAATGCTGATGTATACTTAAAGGGCCCAGGGTACCTTGCTTATGGCTGTCTGCAGAGCATGCTAGTAATTGTCTTTGCATCTTAAAACCACACAGTCCACTGAACACCGCCTGAAAATCCTGGTTAGGCACGTCCTAGTTAAACAGTTGGCTTGTAACCACCTCAGCTACCCTGTCCTAATTTAGTCAACTCATGAGAACAGTCGCCCTGGTGCTGGCCACTGTTGCATGCTGGCAGCTGCTAGGAGTTCTTACTGTAAACCACAGACTTTAACATGAATGCAGAAAGTTATAAACTGTTACGATAGAATTGAAAATGATAGCTGGTAATTTGTAAACATGTCGTTTTGTGGCAGCTTCCATCTGTTTAACTAAGCGAGCAGATTGCTAGGTACTGTGTGGGCAGAGCAGATAGCACTGGTGACATTGTTTAGTCAGTGACAGAGGAAAATAAAGTATACACAGTAGGCCTGTCAACAAATTCAACAACAAGGGTGATAAGATGGTCAACATAAGGCTTACAGTGATGACTGATCAAGAGTGATTTTCAGCTGTTTGGCCCACTTTTGGCTCACTTTTCTGTTCAGTATTTCATAAATAATGCCAAGATTGTGAGTTGTGAATAGGATTCCTACAGCAGATCACTAGCTTCCTTGTTGTAGGTTTCAGAGGGTGATAGAACATTGATGAAGATTGTAATAAGAAACACTGGGAAAATGTAACGGCAGTAATAAATAATGTTCATACCTTCTTTGACCCGTTTTTTTTATATATTTTGGAAAAAAAAATTTTTTTAACAATTCACTTATTGAATCTTTCTCGTAATCTGCCTTTCTTTGAGCAAACAAAAATACTTAAATCAAACAAACTAGGTTGAATTAGAATAGACAGTCTGTGAAAATATCACGGACTCAGAATTAATCATCTTAAGGCCACAGTGCTAAAGGAAAATAATTATACAGTTAGATTTCCAAAGGGGCGTGGGAATCACAGCCTTTTCTATTTGACTACATTTACTCATGGGCCAACGTTTTAGAAATGGGCATCGTCACAGGCCAGAGGCCCAAGTTCCAACATTAAATATTCAGTAATACAGTACAGCTGGCAATGATCCGTGTACCGCTTGCTAAGCCTCCACGGGCCGCTATTTGAATAGCTCTGACCTATTGTGATGCCAGTTAAGGCCAGAGGAGAAGTTCCTCATCTTTTAGAACAAAACCTGGCAGTATGTTTGAGACCATATGTTGCCCTTGCAGTATGATCCCTTCCTCTGTGCCTTTGTTAACTCTAGAGGAAAGGTAGCACCAGTACATTTGGAACACAGCATACTGATGGGTAGAAGTGAATCCAGCTAGATGAGTAGTGAGAAATTATGTGCAGGCTGTAGAGATGTTCCAAGATAAATATTTTCTGTACTGTTTGTAGGACTTGCGATGCGATGTCACACTGAAGTTGTGAAGAACTGTCCAGCATAATATGCATTTTTTTTTTAATGTTAGTGTACGTCATATCTCTTCCCAGCACTTGAAATATTGTGTCCAAAATGTTATGTAAGGTATATTTTATTAACCTTTCACAATCTCCCAATGGTTTTCAGCCATTCTGGCATACCGGGTATTCCGCAATGACCGCAAAATTTGCATCAAGATTTTGCATGCATCTATGCATGTGCTTGCCCTGCTCTTTGCCAGCGTGGGACTAAAAGCTGTCTTTGATTCACACAACCTCAAAAAGACTGGGTGCCATCCCAAATTTGTACTCTCTACACAGTTGGCTTGGAATCTTTGTCGTGGTTTGCTTTGGACTGCAGGTAAAACTAATCTAGTTCAGAGTTTTCTTTTTGTTTCATTTGGTTTTCTTTCAATATGAACCAACACCTAGAGTATTTTTTTCATTAAGTACAGATCATGGTTAATTTACACCTAGCAAAGTTTTACCATCATATTTCATTAACTGGCTGGAGATAAAATTTACAAGTTGGCAGGTTGTTGGACAAATAGGAGGATTTGTATATTTTTGATGGTAGATATCTGAAAGTCGTCATGATAAATGAAATTTTGAAGACAATGTGTGAACATCCACAGTGATTTAACACGGCTAGGTTTTCATCGCTGTAAAAGAGAGTCTGCTTTTTTTTATCTTCAAACAATAAATGTGGAAAACACAATATATATATATATATATATATATATATATATATATATATATGTATATATATATATATATATATATATATATATATATATATATATATAAATATAATCATAAAATCTTAATTTTCAGAATACGTTAGCTGTAAACTCAGAAACTACTGAACCGATTGCTTTCAAATTTTCACACAACGTTGCCTCTGACTCAAAGCGTTTTTTTTTGGTCATAAAATCGCACAAACAACGAACGACGTAGCTCCAGCAACGGTCAAATCATTAATTGTTTTGTTGGCTGCCCGGATTTATTTTTAAGGAATTGGCCACCTTTGACTGTGCAACACCCACCTTCGCATTATTATTATTGTATACTTTCATTTCTACCAAATGCTTGAGTATTCTGTAGCGTAGTTAGTTGTAAGCATTTAGCTTTTTTCACTCGGGTGATAGGGGTTCGATTCCAAGCAGGGTGAAAAAAAATGTTTTTTTTTTGGGGGGGGGGGGGGGGGGGGGGGCCTAACTGGGTGGTTGCCACGTTTTGTTGTGGTTTATGGCTAGGCTGCAGTATCTACGCTTTTTTTTTTCTTTCGATTTTGGGGTTTACAGCTAGCCTGTGATAGCGGCGACGTGATGCTCAATGTTCATTTCACGGGAAATATTCGTTCCCCCTTGAGAGGGCGGATGGCACGTTGAGTTGTGGTTTACAGCTAGGCTGCGATATCTGACCTAAAGTCTTCAGTAGTAGAGTTGTAAGTATTCCGCCCTTCACATGTATAACGGGTGTTCGATACCCCGCTGGGTAGTAATTTTTCTTTTTACCCCAAAGGGGCGATTGGCACGTTGTGTTTTGGTTTAAAGCTAAGTTGCGATATCTGTGCCCTACGTCCTAAGACATCCGATTTAAGTACAGTCCATATTAGCCCCCCCTCCCCCCCACCCCTGACGCTTCACTCGATCAAAAACTATTCGTTAATGACATACACTGTTAACTAAGATGGCTTACGGTCTAGTTTGGTTTGGGTCGACACGTATACCAAGGTTAATTACACATCGTCACTTCGGAAAGGGAGAGATGACGAGTGCGGGGTTTTTATTTCCGCTATTTGTGAGTATAGTGTACATTTTTTTTAATATTACGGAATTTTACTGTGGGTTCCATCATTGGTTAGGTGATGGAGTTTTATGTCGGGAACACACTTAAACTAAACAGTCCAGGGGGAAAGCATGCGGCGCCAACTTACTTTCCAAACGACCTCTTACTTTTCAGTTTGGTTTGGGTCGACACGGATGCCAAGGTTAATTAAACATCGTCACTTCGGAAAGGGAGAGATGACGAGTGCGGTTTTTATTTCCGCTATTTGTGAGTTTAGTGTACATTTTTTTTATATCGCGGAATTTTATTGTGGGTTCCATTACTGGTTAGGTGATGGAGTTTTATGTCGGGGACACACTTAAACTAAACAGTCCGTGGGGACAGCATGCGGCGCCAACTCCTCTGGCTACAACGACCTGTACAGACAGTAGTTACCGTTTTCTGTTGTTGTTGTTGTTGTGACGGTGGTAATGGTAGTGTTAGCAGTAGTACTGGTACTCGATGGGTTCTGTGGTAGCTGTTACACTGGCCACATTTACTTCTCAGTGCAGATTAATGCTACCTATTTTTGCCTGGGTGGACATGGATGCAAAGCTAAGTTCAGTTACAATATTTAATCAGATGATGACTTTCCCATCCTTCGGCGAGGATGATATAATTAGTGAAGGGAGGGGGTTGATGGTAGACACTGTTAACTGAGAGAGCTTGAAACATTTTTTCTATTTTAATAATTTCGCAAGGGATGATTTGTCAATCCTTCGGAGAGGGAGATATGACTGGGTGGAGGGGAGAGGGAAGGGGGGTGAGGGTTATGACAGACACTGTTAGTTGAGAGCTACTTTCTTTTTTTTCCATTTCACCATTCGGGGCCACAGCAATGCGTGGCAGGGCACAGTTAGTATGTATGTATATATTTATATATATATATAAATATATATATATATATATATATATATATATATATATATATATATATATATATATATATATATATATATATATATATATTTATATATATATATATATATTTTTTTTTTACATGTAATCTTTCAATTTGTCCACTGACATTTTTTTAAATGAATGTGACATGTGTTTAGTTCTGTCAGCAATGAAATCACATCAGTGGTGGAATGTAGAAATAAAAAAAAACATTCATGTAATTTTATCGACTGGAGATATTTGATAATTAAAATTGGTATCAGCTGCTAGTCGTTAATAATATTAAAGGTTTAGTTATTGATCTGTAGTTTAATGGGTCTGCATCTTGATTCTTTTTTTGCTTTCACTAAGAATTTCCTGCCTAGAAAATATACAGGTCAGAATTTGATAAATATTAAAGGCAAAGTCTTCATGCTTCAAGACAAAGTATGTTAACCTGTTAGTATGTAGAATATTACCCATATGTTTTATTCTTCCTTGAGCAATTTTTTTCTGTGAATTCTTATAGATGATGCTAGTTTGAATGCCTTGAATGGTAATTTACGTTTTTTAATTTCCCTTTTATAGTGGCTTCTGGGTTTTGTCTCATTCTTGTGGCCAAAGTTGGGCATGGCTTATCGGACATTATACATGCCATATCACAGTTTTTGGGGCGTCACCTTGCTAATCCTGGCAACAGCAACAGCTCTCATGGGTATCACAGAGAAGGCTATTTTCCACACTGTGTAAGATTTTATGTTACTAATATTTCATGCTTATATATTGATAAAAAAGTTTGTTGCATGTCCTTTACAGGACGTTGCAGAACCAACCCCAGCGTTTGGTTGTTGTGGTTTTTTTAGGCAAATTTTACATTAGGTAGTTTGTCATTGCCTTCTGAACGGTCAGCTCTCGGCACCATTGTTGAAACCAGCGCAAGATAAATCATCTACAGCTGGGATGGAACCTGGCACCCATCATTACTAAGTGTGTTACTGGTTGATGATGACAGATGGAACAAAGAAAAAGTAGAAAAATTATACTGAAGGGTGTACATTGGCACACACGTGTCAACATTTGTGTCTGTTGATTTCATTTTACAATTCAATTTTGATGGCAGTTAAATAATTTATTTAGTTCGTTGACAGTTACATTAAAGTAGATTTAAAGTTTGTCATAAATGTATGATAATTAGTAAGTTCTTTTAACATTCCTTTTCCTCAACATGTACTTTTCAGGGAAATTGGCTATTCTCATCTGTCTCCTGAGGGTATTCTTATCAACTGCCTAGGCATCATCCTTGTTGTGTTTACCGGCCTAGTGGTCTATCTGGTGACAAAGCCAGAGTACAAGCGGCAACCTGCTCCTGAGGAGGATCATGTTCCACTGGACAACTAACGAGGTCTAGACTTCCCCACCTCATAGAACGGAGCACTTGCTGATCATCAGCTGGACATCACATCTGACGGGACATGGATATTTTTTGTTAGTGAAACTGTCAGGTTAACATTTTTGATTACTTACCTTTCTTTTTTAGCATTACCGTTTCTTTGTAGCTTTATTTATTTACCATTTCTGTTGCAGGACTTTGTGAAATTATGTGCTTGCTGCTACTGTTTATTTATGTTTTAAAACAAGACTGGGTTTTTTAAATAAATTGTTTTCAGGCGTGTAAAAGTTACGCGTTTTTCTTTCCTATTCTCTGATGAGAACCCTGCAACATTTTTTATTCAGATATTGTTAGAAATCTTGCCTAGTTTTAATTAATAAATCAAAACAGATTGTACAGTTCGGCTCTCAAAGTTGTTTGGATCTAGAGCCAGGATATCTTTGACAGAATGTTTCAGGGCAAAACAAGAGCAGTGCAGTTTCAACAGCACATGAATATACCAGTAGCATACATATGGATTGTCAAGCTCATGTGGTTTGAATCCTTGATAATGTGATGGAAGTCTGTTTCTGTCAGGGAGGAGAAATAAACATCCTAACCAGCACAGTTTATGGCAACTGCACTAGCCATAAGGCCATACATCTTTAAACTCCAGATCCCCATCTTACACTACCCTTAAAGGTGATAAATGAAGCAATAATAATGTGGTTTATTTTATTTTTTTAAATATCTGGTCACATGTTCTTTGGATCTACAAAAGATGACGAGTAATGATTCAGCAAAGATGTGTACAATGTTTATCTTAACAATTTAGCATCATTGTACGGAAACATAAATTGGCACAGTTGTCTTTATTGTTTGTAGATAAATAGGCCAGATTATGACTCTTTATTTGTGTTGAAAGTACATTTTTCAAAATGATGGCTGAATGATATAAAATGATGCTGGAAATAATCGACACCATATCTCTGGATTGCTACATCTCTCTAGTTGAGCAGACTGCACCAGTGACTCCCAAGTTTGTTTCTTGTTCATGTAGTATGGTGTATATTAATTAACATTTATTTTATTAAGCATAAGCATTCACATGTTACCATGATCCATCAAAAGCAGGATAATAGCAACACTGTAATCTGCTGTGCATGCCATAAGGGGTCATTAGGGAGGTTTGTCACGAGATTGGCTACCTCCACCCATTGAAATATTGAGCTGGGTAATCTAACCAGTCATGAATAAGTCTGCAAAAGTCTTTTTGTGTGAGTTAGTTGGGGGGGGGGGGGGGGGGGGGGGGGGGGGGGGGGAGAGGGGGGGGGGGGGGGGGGAGATGCTGATGCTACATTAGTCTTCTTCTGCTATAAACGAGCAGAAAGTTCTGGTTGTTCATTCAGCTCTGGACTTCAGTCTTGTTTCAGAACCAGAGTGCTGCGTGCGCATTCTTTTTACAGATCTGACTTATTTGTATGCATAATGTTGGTTCCTTGCGTTTCAGGCAGATGCTCTCCGACTTCAAAGGAAGCTCCCAATTAGTCAGCTCTTACGACATGCTTGTTGGGGAGGCAGTGGGTCTAATCTTGTTTTCCCCACAAGGGGGCCTCAGAACTCACTCAGGGAGCTCTGTTAGTAAATGTAAGACAGAACAAGAAATGTTAAAGAAGCTGTCATTCCTTACTCCAGACTGTAAACAGAAAAGTATTCTGGGTTTTTTCCCCCCCATTATTCTTCTTCTTCACGTTCACCAGCTGTAAACTCTAGTGGAAAGTTTTGGTTGTTCGTCCACTTCTGGACTGCAGTCCTGTTCCAATACCTGGGTTTTGCGTGTGCATCCGTTTGACAGTTCTGAAACATTTGTGTGCAGACTGTTGGTTCCTTGCCTCTCAGGCAGATGCACTCCGACTTCGAAGGAAGCTCCCAATTAGTCTACTCTTACGACATGCTTTTGGGTAGGCAGTGGGTCTATTCTTGTTTCCCCTATAATAGGGCCCCGGAACCCACACGGGATTCCCCCATTATGATTCATTTCTTTATTTGTTCCTGTTTGAATGATACACATGCATTATTATTCCAGACAAATATCTTGTTAAAGTTACCATCTTTGCATGACATCCTCTGCCTGTACTACATAAACTAATTCACACATCTTTGTCATTGAAAGTGCAGTTTACAGCTTGTGTGTTTTCTCTGGGGTTTGTGCCAAAATCTGTTGACAGTTAAATGAAAAAATTAAATCTGTGGAGGAAAAATTGCCAATCTGGATCTAATCACAGCCAGTCTGTATGTGCTAGGTTGAATTGTGACCTAGTTATGCCTCTTGCAGTAAATGCGTTTAACAGTTTCCAGATCCGTCAGAGGTTTGATTTGCCTGGTGGCCTTGCCACAAAATTTCCTAAATGACAGCAGTAACAGCACTGGCATGCCTCTTGACAGATTTTAAGTTCCAGTGACAGTTTTGCACACTCTGCTGGTTGATGAGCATGGAGTGGGCTAGGAAAGCTCTGCCACACAGTCCCTGTAGTAAAGGTGCGTTGGCACTACACAAAATCTCTCTCACATGCAAGCCTTATTCAGATGAATGACTCATCTAACCTTTATCTTTGTGCTGGGCCATGTGACTGTTTAAGGCACTGAGCCTGTAGATAATCCCAGCGCGGACAATGCGGTTACCATGGCTGGCCCAGCACTGAACAAGAGTGATGTGAATAATGCCATGCAAGTGCATATCGTGGTAGAGATTACAATAGTCAGGATTCAGTATCACTGTCCAGGTTGATGGAGATGGGGGTGCAGCCTGGAGCAGCAAGGCATGAAAATTTTACTAGGGCCACCAGATGATTAACCAACACAGAATAGGCTTGATCAGTCATTGTATACTTGTGGAGCTGTGAGAGAGACACTAAAGGATTTGTCTGGAGTGCTGTGATGATAGTCCTCAATAATCACTTCAAGGTTTAACTCTTTTGCTATCACTGACAGATTTTTTTTTTAAATTGTTATCAACACTTGATGCATTCCTTGGTAACCAAGAGTTAAACAATCTGACTGCCAATAAATCAGACTTAGGAGTTAAAACTCTGTCTTCCAGAGGATTCCCTGACCAACAACTTCAAGATTTCACATACAAATAAATTCTATTTTTTTTTTTTTGGGTATTAAATTTGATTTCTATATTTGAACTATTTATATTACATTGTATCTGTTGAATTCTGCGTGATGTTCACTGTGTGTATGGTGATTTGCTGTTGTGATTCATGCCGTTGTTTTGTGACTATTCCGTATCCCTTGATGGCAGTCCATTCCTCATTTTAGTACATATTTGCATATTTGGGTCTGTATTGATATTGTGTTGTATAAGTCAGGACACCACTTGGATGTTGACTTTTTCTACAGAATTTATTCATCTTCAAATGTTCAATGCTAAATTTGCTGGATCTGATCTTAACATGAATACCTGGGAAGAATTGCATGCCTCTTGTATTTCATTACATTGCATTTTTTTCATCAACCATTAAAGAGTCATTTGGCATGTTGTGTTATGGTTTATAACTAAACTGCGATATCTACACCTTTCAGTTTAACTCTCTGAGTTCCAGAGGGTTTAGATTCAGAGCCTCAAGGGGTGGTAACACAATTTGAAATGTCACAAGTGTTACACATTAAAACAGACCATACTAATTCATCTGCAGTGCGACATACACATATTATACATCAAAGTGACCACGGATTGTCGAGGAATAATATTAGAATACTGCTACAAAAATAAATTGTGTTAGTAGTTAGTTATTAGTAAATAAATAGAAGGGATATTTAGAGAAATTGGTAAAAAGAAATGATTTTTTTTTCACTTACCACCATGGCACTCATTAAAAAACTCGATAAAATATATCCAAAATTAATCACAAATAATATGAACCATTTAGTAGTGTATAAATAAAATATAAACACAATCTGCCTATTAGATCTCGTTCCAGAGAAACTTGTAGAACATCATAACATAGCACATTTTTTTTAATCAAAAAAAATTACCTCTGAAAAAAAAATTAGTATTTTCATTAAAAAAAAAAACTTTATGTAACACTCAATTTGCACATAGTTTTATTTTTATAGCCTATGTCACCAAATAATAATTGCACTAGGCCTAACTGACACTGACAAATATTACTTTTTTTACTAACAATTATTCTCTTTGTATCAGCTGACTTTGTTATCATTGTAGGCTTTGAAGTTCATACTAGAGACAACATTGCAGATATAGATAATAATCTATTTCAATCGAACGAAAGAGTAGACTAAAACATAACTTCATAACTTTCTTTGTTTAACTTTGGACAGATCTGATAAACTCAGGTTTTTATTTGAATATGAGGCTTCTAAAGTCATAAATTGTGTTGGCGTGCATGAAGTAGTCTGCTCAGAGGCCATATTTTTTTCACACAGACACTTAGTAACCCGATAAAGTTCACAAACATGCTACATTTTATGCTTTTAACCACATTTTTGAATATCCCAGATGGTCACCATATGGTACTGAGCACAAAGAATATAAAATACCATTCATCACTGCCGGTTTGCATTGTTATACTGGCCAGCGGTCAGTTAAAACATCTAGTTTCTGCAAACAGTTGATTAGTCACTGTTTATGACATACTTGTTAAGTTTATCTGTGGTTTTTCCCCCCAACATGGGAACCCAGAATCCACATAAAGAATATGTCATAAAAAATATGGCATGTTATATGAGAAGTAATTGATCTACTGTTGATCAGTATTGATATGAGTTAATGCATTGTGTTCTAAAGCTCACATACAAATTGCCAGTTCCTGCATTTGTTTTACATAATCTTAAACTAAGCCTTTCCCAATTTTTGTAATTATTATTTGTTTT